TACAGGCTTATCTGATTCTAAAAAAAATGAAAAAATAAGGATAGCCTCATTCTCCAATGAGGAAAATAAAGGAAAGAGAGAAAGTGCAGTTGGACAAAGAAATGGAGCAGTATCGGACACCTCTCCGACTTTCCCTTCACCCTCCGGCTCCTCTAACGTCACCCACATTAGAAAGAGCTGCTAACATCATTAGAAAGAGCTGCTAACAAATTAGAAAAGAAGAAATAAGAAAAGGAGGAAGTATCTTGATGTTTATTTAGTCCTTCCTGGCCAGAGGAAGCAACACAAATCTCCTGGGATGTTACTTACTCGCCTCTGGTCCTCTCTACATTATGATTTCATATTCTTGGGAAGCCAATACTAAGAGCAAACCCTCAAGCATGACATTGGCAGTCCTCGACCTCCAGCTGTCACTCCTACCATACACCACACAACAGCGATCTCCAGAGCACTGCCCTGATTCTTTCTGCCTCAAAGACACACAGTCCTATTTCACAGGACCAGATATAAAAGTGTGGCCTCTTACCCCCACCACCACATTACCTTTTTTCGATGTCACTTTTAAAGCAACATCATTCAATAGTTCTACATGAGTATAGAACGTTGTCAGCTTTGAAAAATACGTATTTCCTCAAACTGGGAAGTCTTTCTCCACGTCCAGAAGGATTATGGAGCAAGCATGTTCTGTCCTTGGGAATTTAAGCCTCAGAAAACCAAGAAGAGTGAAGGTCAGGGACCTCTCTTATTGCTGTACAAGCCTGTTCCAGGAGGAGAGACCCAGGATGATTAAAATACTGTTTTTGCAGCTGTCACACAAACACTATTTAAAATTCCCGTTCCCTATCCCAGGATTTAATGCAAATTATCCACATGACAGAGGGTCAAGATGACAATTTACATGCAATTAGCCAGATGTGTTAGAATGATATTTCTCCCACCCACCCCCCAAAATTATCTGAATAATTTACACATACATAATCACCTTACTCCAGTGGGAAAATAGCATGCCTTTATTTATTTCCTTCAAGTACCTAGATTTTCCAACAGTGTTAGAACCAGAAAGTGTCATGTCCAGAAAAGCAAATAAGATAACTCTGTGAGGCCAGGCTGTCCCTCTTTTAAATGCCGACAGAATTAATTTGTGTTCATTAACTCCTTATCAAGTTACCTGACTTTGATTCCCAGCACGAAATGCATTTAAAAAGGGGTTGGGGCAGTGGTAGATTTTCAGGAAATAGCGAGTTCTTTTTCTACCGAGATAAAAATCATTTGGCAAGCCAGGGTGAAATACTTCCAGTTTTAAGAAAGAGAGAAAAGGAAAGAGAAATTTAGAAGATGATAATGAACCACAAAAGGAAAAGGAGGAACGATTTTTTAAAATCAGACTTTACTTTTGAAAACAGCTCAGTTTGCAGTGAATTTTTAAAGACATGTCAAAGTTATTCCTTCGGGAGCTAGGTACGAGCTAAACCAGGCCCTAGGATGACTGCCGTAAAGGAGTGAGAAATTCATGTGACTTTAATTAAAAAGCCCAGAATCATCAGAACTGACCTTTCAGACCCAGCCTTTCATCCCCAAAAACGGATGAAGCTGGTAAAAGCCATGATATGGGACCAAGGGAGCGGGTCTCAGAGCCTTGGATTCCAGGTTGCCCTGTGAGCTGTGGCTGACTAGACAGCAGACTGCTCCTTGGGAGGGCAGCTGGTTTTTATAATGAGTAAGCTGAAGCAAAGAGGGATGTACTACAAGTTAATGGGAAAAGATGAAACCCTCAGATGACTCCTAAGTTTCACCTGGCCTCTTAATTGGGAGGCTTTAGAACCCCTTGGCCCCAAAGCGGCCACCCTCAGGCTGCTCCCCAGGATTCAGATGCTGCATGGGAAGAGATGGTCAACAAGGCCTGGGGAAGAGGGGACAGGAAGGGAAGCTAACAGCCAGGGTGATCGCCCTGCAGAGGATCAGCTCTATGCTTGCAGCTGTTTTCATGCCAAGAGCAGCAAGGCTTCACTCTAAACTCACAAAACTCCCGAAGAAAGCAGCCCTTAGTCTATGGGTGGAAAAGGCCATAAACCCAGCTTCTATTGTAGTCAGAAGACAGAGGCTTGTTAATTGGGATCAGGTGGGACATTTGAAGGCGAGGTGTCTGGAGAAGAAACGACTGTGTCTTATTGCTTGCATTTATTCAAATACAAGGGGGAGCTACCGGCCTTCCCTCCTCCCCATCTGGGAAGGATTAACACATTTGAGGGCTCTGAGCACTGAAAAAAATTACTGTCCGCTTCACCTCACTACTTCTCTCTGCAAAATGGTGACTGTGAGGCTGCTCCTCAGTATGCTGGGTTTTCTCCTTCAATGCATATGGCGGGCAATGCTAAACCCCATCTCCTCAAAGTCAGGTATGCCATGAGATATGCTTTGGCCAAGAGAACATGAACAAGAAATGAGACATTTTCAGGCAGAAAACTTTAAAGAGTCAATGCAAACCTTCCCATGCTGCCTCCTCTATGCCACTGAGGCCAGGGAGATTCCAGTGGGTGGAAGGTCTTCCATATTGCCTCCTCTGGGGAGGACAAAGTAGCCCAGAGCCACCTCACCTTACTGCATCATCCCATACTCCTGCTGGCTGACCCACAGTGTATTAGTTTTCACAGTGCTATAAAGAGCTGCCTGAGACTGGGAAATTTATAAAGGAAAGAGGTTTAATTGACTCACCGTTCAGCATGGCAGGGGAGGCCTCAGGAAACTCACAATCATTGTGGGAGGCAAAAAAGCAGCGAGGCACCTTCTTCACAAGGTGGTAGGAAGGAAGACTGCTGAGCGATGAACGAAGCCCCCTCCCCCTTATAAAACTACCAGATCTCCTGAGAAATCACTATCATGAGAACAGCATGGGGAAAACCACCCCATGATTCAATTACCTCCATCTGGTCTCTCCCTTGACACATGGGAATCATGGGGATTACAATTCAAGATGAGATTTGGGTGGGGGCACACACAAAGCCTAACCATATCACATGGTAAATGTGTAGTGTAAGTAAACAATACATCTTCATAATTTTCAGCCACTGAGATTTTGACATTGTTTTTTACTGAAGAACCAAAAATATAAAACACCCAACCTAGAAGTCCAAAACATTTCAGTTTCCTTAATGACGACTTTAATAATTTGGCATTTCTATGAATAACCCGATTCTTTTAAAAACCTCTCTCTCTTTTCAAGCTTCTGGTATGATGCAGACATTAAGTATGCACCTCACCTGGTCTGACTATTGGGAAATCTAAACCTTCTCCCCTTAGAAACTCTGCCTTGTGGCAAATCACAGAAGAATACACTGACTTTTAGAGACTATGTGAGGATCTCCTCTCTCTGCTGTCATTTACCAGCCAGTCATGTGTTTTTAGAAAATTTATTCCAACTCTCTAAATCTCAGCTTTCTTACAAAATTAGCACCATAATTCCTACCTTTCCAAGTTATTGTGCCCTGGGGATAAAAAAAAAAAAAAAGTACACCAAGCATAGGTGACTGACCCAACCCACTCCTGACCACCAGGAGACACATTACTCAGCCCTCCCAAGGAAGGGTTTCCTTTCCATAAAACGGGATGACAATACCTACCTCCCAACTTGGGGTCAGGATTAAATAAATGAGTCAACATAAAGCTCTCAGCAGGCCTTTGCACCGAGCACAAGCACGCAGCAGGTGATGTAATCATCGTGCTCATCATTAAATTGTTAAATTGCGTAGCACCTAATATACATTCAATAAATCTTAGCTGCTTCCCTTGCCCTTGGAGAATGAGATCTTCATGTTTAGGAATGGAATCATTTGAAATAGCATTATCAACAGTTAATCAGCAGGGTGGCCAACAACCTACTATAAAGAGAAAAAGACTCAGAGTCTCTACTTTAGACCCGTTTATGGCAAGACATGTCTGGGGCCTTAGGATGCCAGGTTTTTTCCATTCTGCGAACACATGGCTTCCATTAGTTTACTGATACTGACACATCCGAGGCTTCCAAAGTACTCCGGGCCTCTGATGAGTGAAAGGTTTGCATGCCCAACAAGCAAAAGACAGGCTCCACAGGCATAAAACTGCTGCCAGGGGAGGGGCAGAGGAGGTGTTGAGTTTAGGTAGGAGACCAAATCTGGCTCTGTTTTTAATGACCATCCTGTCCACACCTGAAAATAAACTAGCTACACCTGGGGAGATTTCTAATGCTTCTGGAGCTGCAATGCCGATGTCAGTGTGCATATGTAGCCTTCATTAATCAGAGTGGGTGTCATGTGGGTGTGTGCAAACAGGGACTGGAGAATAGCGAATAGTTTGCACGGTGTACACACACCGTCTCTGCCGAACTTTCTAATCCAAGGAAAACCCAAGCTCGGATGTTCAGCTCCGTTCAACACGTGTTCTAAGGACATCATTGTTTGGTTGGACTCTTTCAAACAGACCTGAATTCTAATTAGTTTGCAGTGTGAGGCTGCAGAATGGTAACTCAATCCCCGCCTAAACTTTGTCATCTGTTTCCCATCTTCAAAGCAGGATGGTCTACTTTTGTGCTGTGCAAAGGTGATGCCGGGGACCTCATTTGGTGCTCTGCGTCTCATAGCAACAAGGGCTATTTGAAAGAGGGGGAAAGGTGGGGCCATTGCTGACCTAAGTTTGGGACAATTCGTTGTTCTAAGTTTCATCCCCAAGGGGAGGGTTCCAAAGAAATAAGGCTTTGTGTCCCTGATGACAGAAAGGACCTACCTCGTCGGGGCAGTCCTACGAACTCTCAAAATGTTTGCCGTTTCAGACCATACAGCAAGAGTGAGCAAATAAAAGTGTGATGAAAAAATAATGAGGGCATATTTGGCTAATACTTGAAAGCTAACCATGTGTTTTCCCATACACCAAATCATCTGATTCTTTCGACAGCCCTACAAACAGGTATGCAGTTCATATTAGCCCATTTTTACAGGTGAGGAAAGCAAGACTGAAGGATTCCAGCCTACCTTGATTTGCATCTTGTCTCCTGACAGCTAAATTCTTAAACCCTGGGCAAGCTTCTCCATCTTTCTGTGTCTCTGTGTCCTCATCTGCAAAATGCGGAAAACAACATTGCTACTTCATGGGTTGCTAAGTTTAATGAGTTACTATACGTAAAAATAAAAATGGGATTAAAGGTCACCTGTGATATAGAAAGCGTTGACTATGTGTTGTTTTTGATAGAGTCTCACCAGTGGCGAGATCTCGGATCACTGCAACCTCCACCTCCTGGGTTCAAGCAATTCTCCTGCCTCAGCCTCCCTAGTACCTGGGACTACAGGTGCGTGCCACCATATCTGGCTAATTTTTTGTATTTTTAGTAGAGATGGGGTTTCACTGTGTTAGCCAAAATGGTCTCGATCTCCTGACCTTGCGGTCTGCCCGCCTCGGCCTCCCAAAGTGCTGGGATTATAGGCGTGAGCCACCATGCCTGGCTGACATTACTTTTAATGGCAAAAACCATGATTACTTTTGTACCAACCTTATAAAGTTGAAAATGTGGGACCCCAGAAGCTCAGGATTGAACATATCCCTGGGAAGAAGAATTGGGCTGAGATGAAATCCGCAGAGAAAATGAGAACAACAGAGCACCCTTGTTCATATGGCTGTTCAATTCCCATCCTGTCTATACTCCACACTCAACCATGGATGGATGACACACTGCTCCAAATCCCTCAGGGTCATCAGGAAGATTGTGGCCCAATCTGACATCTGGTCATGGAAAGTTGCATTTCCTTCTTATTTTATAAAATGCATATGGAGGTGGAGGGGGGAGACCAAGTTTGACCCCTTCCAATCCATTTAATAATACCTAATAAATTGAGCTTTCCTTATGTGCCAGGCACTGTGTTATATATATTGCACACATTTTCTTATTTCTTTCTCATAGAGGGGGATGAAATGTTTCAGTTTGCTCAGCACTGATGGGCTATCTAGAATTTGGCTGTATTAGTCTGTTCTCATGATGCTAATAAAGAGATACCCAAGACTGGGAAATCTATAAAGAAAAAGAGGTTTAATGAACTCACAGTTCCATGTGGCAGAGGAGGCCTCACAATCATGGCGGAAGGCAGAAGATAAGCAAAGTATTCTCTTGTGTGGTGGCAGGCAAGAGAGACTGTGCAGAGGAACTCCCATTTACAAAACCATCAGCTCTCGTGAGACTTATTCACTACCATAAGAATAGTATGGGGAAAATCACCCCCATGATTCAATCATCTCCTCCTCGCCCCGCTGTTGACACGTGGGGGTTAGCACAATTCAAGGTGAGATTTGGGTGGGGATGCAGCCAAACCATCTCATTGGCTATAACTGGGTGTACTGGGCAAGCTGGGACAGCTGATCACCCCCAACAAGGAAGGTGCTCAGTTCCATTGTAAATGAAAGACCTGAAGTCAGGGGAGTCTCAAGGCTGGCCAGGCCAGTAGGGATTTTTCAACCTGTGCTTTTAAATCACTATAAAATACCAGCTAGGGAGAGCACCTTCCTATGGGAGAAAGTTGTAGCCCATCAGTGAATGGATGAAAGTAGCTGTTGCTTTCTCTTTTTTTGAACTTTTAGGCTCAAAGGTACACATGCAGATTTGTTAAATAGGTTAATTGTGTCACAGAAGTTTGATGTACAGATCATTTCATCACCCCGGTACTAAACCTAATAGTCAGTAGTTATTTTTCTGCCCCTCTCCCTCCTCCAATCTGCAACCCTCAAGTAGACCCCAGTATCTGTTGTTCCCTTCTTTGTGTTCGTGAGTTCTCATTATTTTTCTCTGACTTATGAGAACATGCAGTATTTGGCTTTCTGTTCCTGTGTTGGTTTTCCAAGGATAATAGCCTCCAGCTCCATCCATGTTCCTGCAAAAGACAAAATATTGTTCTTTTTTATGGTTGTATAGTATTCCATGGTGTATAGGTACCACATTTTCTTTATCCAATATGTCATTGACAGAGATTTATGTTGATTCCATGTCTTTGCTATTGTGAATAGTGCTGCAATGGGCAAAGGAAATGAAACTTTTCAAATGAAATGAACATACATTTTTCTTTTTTTTTTTTTTTTTTGAGACGGAGTTTCGCTCTTGTTACCCAGGCTGGAGTGCAATGGGGCGATCTCGGCTCACCACAACCTCCACTTCCTGGGTTCAGACAATTCTCCTGCCTCAGCCTCCTGAGTAGTGGGATTACAGGCACATGCCACCATGCCCAGCTAATTTTTTGTATTTTTAGTAGAGATGAGGTTTCACCATGTTGACCAGGATGGTCTTGATCTCTTAACCTCATGATCTACCCGCCTCGGCCTCCCAAAGTGCTGGGATTACAGGTATGAGCCACTGTGCCCGGCCCATGAACAGACATTTTTCAAAAGAAGATATACATGCAGCCAACAAGCATATGAAAAAATGCATCACTGATCATGAGAGAAATGTAAACCAAAACCATAATAAGATACCATCTCACCCAAGTCAAAATGGCTATGATAAAAATGTTTAAAGAAAAAAAAGATACTGGCAAGGTTGCAGAGAAAAGGGAACACTTATACATTGCTGGCAGGACTGTAAATTAGTTCAACCATTGTGGAAAGCAGTGTAATGATTCCTCAAAGAGCTAAAAACAGAACCATTTGACCCAGCAATCCCAATGTTGGGTATATACCCAAAGGAATATAAATCATTCTACCACAAAGACACATTACACAAATGTTCACGGTGTTGCTTTCTTTATTACAAAGGGTTTCATATCTTCCTGAACTGAGATTCTCTGTTGTCGATGCTGTTGGGTTTTGTCTCTTCTGTGGTTGTTATACTTCCATAGGATTTGGAGGCATAATCTGAAACGTCAAATAACAGACTTTTACTTTTCTAACTAGTGTCATTCTATCTTTGGAAAAAAAAGGAAAAAATCATGTCATTAGCATTATCAGCTCTGAAAGGATCAAGACCTGATCCTCCAAGTTCTATTATTTTCTTTTTCTATTTCCCCCTAAAAAGAGGTCTTAGTTATCAGTAACTTCCTATGAATTACAATTTCAGAAGTGATCAGGGACTCTCAAAGGGCATTCTTTTCGCCTTCACATACCTTCCAAAAGTGTATCAAGACTTCACATCACCTATTATACTGCCTCAATAAAACAGGCTCACAGAGTGGGATCCATGCCATTGAGTCAACCAAAGAAGTCATCATCTCAAGATATAAGGAAGTTCAGGAAGAAAGATTTCACGTGGAAAAGGATTTTCTAATCTCTTAAATAATTGTCCATGGATGGACTTACTTAAGCAAGAGCTTAAGTAGACTTCAAAAGAAACTAGTGATTATAGTTGCAAGATGAACATTGCATCAATATAAGGGCCACTTGGGGACACTCTGAAATCCCAAGGCAAAATTGACTGTCTTGATTTGACAGAGGAATAGGGCCAATTGGGGGTTTAGGCTGATTCTGGTTTTTTGTGAGTCATTTTGTCTGTGGACATGCTTCACAAATTAAAACAAACCAAAAAAATCCCTAGGTGTGAGATGATTAAAGTTTCAAATCTGGTCATTTGAAATCACAAAAGCGCTGGATGAAAGCCATGCCGTTTGGAGGCTTTTATTTTTTCTTGTTAAAATCCTAGGGTTTGCTGAGCTTATAAAGACTCCTTGAGTCAAATAAAAAGTGAGCGCTTTTGGAGAGAGTCATTCTCTTCAGTATCAGATGCATTTTAGTCTATAATTTTCCACTCTGGCTTATGTGGCTGTCTAGGCTTCATTCCATCAACTCATTTAATCTCCAATTTCATAAAAAAGCATGCTTTCTGTTTATCTTTGTCCAACTGAGTGCAATCTGTGCCTTCTAGCCCTTCTAACAATCCCAACTTTTTGAATTTTGTATCAGAATGCCTGTGTGGCATGGTAAATCTCGGCTGGCCTTGACAGGTTGGAAACTGCATACTCCTAGTGAGAAAATTAAGTGACAGCTCCCAAAGACACTCACTTAGCAAATTCTAACCTAAAAACAGATCATCATTTTAATTTACTGTGATTAAGTGAAGTGGGGGAGAGACATTAATACAAATCAATGCATAGCTGTAAGTTTTCAAAAAAATAAATGATGTTTCCCCCCACAAACACTTAATTTTCATATACAGGCTAGTTGGTGAAGTAGGGAAAATTTAGCATTCGACACAAGATCATGTGAAACCAACCAAAAACAGAAACTTGAACTGAATTTGCTTATTGCTATATCCCTCTATTTTGCAAAGCTGAGACGACTGCTTATGCTTCAAGGAGTTTGATAAACAACGATTTGACCAACAGAGGCTTGACATTTTAATATCATGCCATCTGTATGTATGGGTCAGAGCCGGCCTACTGACCCATACATACAGATGAGATGCCTGAGTGAAAAGATTGGTCTTTTATTACTATTCAAGGTCCTTGTTTTGTGTATTAGGTTGGTGCCAAAGTAATTATGGTTTTAAATATAATTTGCGGATGTATTTATACAGATATATTCTACATTAATGTATGCATCATTACACCAAACAGATTCCCAACATTCAATCGATCAACCATTCTTATAAACATTTGCTTCTCAAAAACATTGGCTTCTCAAAAATATTTATAAAATTCTGTTTGTTAGCCCCTTCAGATACATTTCCGATCTGTCCTGTCTCAAATTCTTACTACTTAGGAAACCAAGGCCTAAAAGAAGTATTAATTCTCTACTTATACACGCACACATACAGCAATAACGTAAAAACAAGATTATGTTGGGGAAGAAAAGAGAGAAAGGAAGTTCTACCACATGTCATGAAACAGACTTGCTTAATTTCACTCTTTATGGGGAATAAAGTGTTTAAAATAACCCAAAAAGCTGAAATGACAGGCAATACTTTTGATTATTCATCTGTTTTTATTTCCAACTCCTCATCTGTTACACAACTCTGGTCTTTTAAACATGAACCTATTTGTAAATAAGAATAAGGAGCTGGCACCTGGATTCAGGTCTGGCCATTTTACCTGAGTGATGAAAAAATACACGATGTAGTGGTCTGCACAACCATCCGACTCCCCTCTGAAATCCTCGTTTCCTCCTGAGATTGTCTAATTAGAGTAATGCTGAAAGTGTTCTTCACTTGCAGATTAATTAGTTGATGCTTAAGCAGTTCTTTGAACATAAAAGACAACATGTAAGTCTAAGTGTAATCAATCATCCTCAAACTAATGGTCACTTAATTAGTGCTTTCTGCTGGTTTAACAGTTCATAAACAAGAGGGCAATTTGGGGAAGGGTCTCCCACCATTGCAGAGAGGTAGGATGTGGCTATAACTAGAATGGAAAACGATGTTCAGAATGAAGGTTTTAACGTTGGAAATAAATTGGAAATTGACTCTCTCTTCTTCTGGTGACTAACAGCCATGAGAAAACTGAACATGAAGCTTATCTTTTAGCAGCATTTGCATATTTCCAGAATTAGGAATCACAGTTTAAATTGGGCTTATCTGCTGTTTCGTGGCAAAATCAAGCCCTTGAGTTGAGATGTATAGGGCAGGAAGAAAGTTAACTCTGGAGGGTTTGTAAATGTTATGAAGGCTTAACTTTCTGCATTCTTAGTAACATGGCTTCCTAAATAGAAAATCAAGTTGAAAGTCATATGATAAAGCTAGTTGTTTTGTAAACTACTTGTATTAGACCTTCTTACATGATTTTCTAATTATTTCTGTATTACTTCCCCTATTTGATTATATACTCAAAGCCAGGTACCTTGCCTATTTCCAGCCTATTCAGCTAAGAGTCAGCATTCATTGAGTGAATCAATGAACAAACAATAAATGGAAATATATCTATACAACTAACATGAGCAAATGTGGCTTTGGGTATAAAAATTATTCTTCTGAACTTCAAAAATATTCTGTCAAAGAAAATGTAAACAGTTCTGTTTGTCAATTAAGTCCCCATTCTAATGCTGGGCTGTTAACACCAACATCATCACAAAGAGACGGTCCAGCCAACATGTTCAAGTTACCCAGCACTGCAAGGAGACATGCTGGCTTCTCTCATCAATACCTGCATCACATGACTTTTTAAAGCCACAGTTTTCTCAACTATGAATTGGGCAATTGTGACAGTTAAATGGAATAATCACAAAACCAACTAAAATAATTTTTTAATAGGTGTCAGCATGGTTAACATCAGTTGATTTTTCTTTTTCAAAACTTTAACTCCACAGAGAAAAATACTTAAAACCTTGCTAAATACATGTGTAGCCCTATCCTCCCTGGACAAGAATTTCCATTGCCAACTGATAATTAAGTAGCACAAAAGCAACATTAGAGATCAGCACTGATACCTCATGACGGCGAGAGGCACACACCTCAAACCCGAGCTTTCAGGGGTGTTGTAAAATTCATCACTCAGAAAGAGTTTTAAAAAGTCAATAGCTTTTCTCTTCATCGCTTTTAAAATCAGAAGAAAAAAATAAACATTTATGTCAGTGAAAGTGTTTAAATATATAATAGTAATATATTTTTCATTATATAAATGCTGTTATAAAAATTTTACCATTTTTGGGGTGGAAGTTACCAACAACAGTCATAACGTGGCCCTGCATCCTTCCCACTTTCTTCAGGATTGCCTACTTGGCTATAAGAGTAGCCAGGAAGTAGAAGACAATTAACATTCCTGGGAGTAACAGTGTGGGAGCAGAACCCAGATGAATAACTTTGGGAAACATTTTTCTGATTTTCTTGAATAATACAATCCCTGTTTTTCCTCAATTACATCTTCAGATACACTAAAAGGCATCTTGATGTTTATTTAATGCATCTCTGTCTTGAAGTCTAGAATCAATTTATTTTCTGGTGAATATTAACTTTATGCTTCCCCCAAAATTTCAAATTTTTTGTGTTTTAAAAAAAAAAAAAAAAGTCAATAGCAGTTCTGAAGATATTTGTCATATTAGCTTTTTTTCAAAAGAAAAAAGTATACAAAGAATTTAACTTTATTGTTTATTGAAATAAACAATAGTATAATTAGGGTAATATAATAGTAATCCTATTTGAAATTTTACTCCAAAAAAGAAATACTTCAACAATAGTAGTAGATGAGTGTCTCAAAGTACTCAGACACTGACCCTGTTTTTCAGAAGGATGTTTTTCATGTTCCTCTCAGAACTCATGGAAGAATTCCCATATGTAATTTCTTCAGAAAATCTCCACATCTAAATCTGACAACACAGAAGTGTTGGGCATTCCTTACCAAATAGGCTGGTCATACAGCAGCACGCATTTGAACGCATTCTGAAACATGTGTCTTAAGAGGCTCTTCTGAAAAGGTCCCTGCAGAAGATGCATGCACAGAATCTGTATTAGACCCACACATAAAGCATTGGATGCAAAAAACACATTCACGCTACAGTCTTTTGACAAAGGTTTTGCCTGACCTAGCCACTGACTTCTCTTATTTCTTGAGTGGATTTAATACCACCGACTTCTACAGGGTATAAATAACCTTGGTCTATGCACCCAAAGTCATGTAAGACAGTAGAAAAGAACCTAGCTCAATTTCATTAAAACATCAGTTTTTAAAAAATCACGAATCTATTTAATGCAAGGCAGGAGAAAAGCAGATATTGCTAATACCAATTAATTAAAACTTAGACCAAGAAAAAAAGCTACCACTTTGTAAATATTACGTTGGACAAAACTGAAGTGTTGTCTAACATTTTTCTTTGGTTCCCTTTCTGAATATGGATGCTTTCTGCATTTGCTTGAAATCATGAGAATTTTTTAAAACCCCAAAAACAGACCAAAACTTTTTATCATTGCTGATTTATTCTCAAGTTTTCCCTCTTTTAAGAAAAGAGGAAAAATAAAAACCATGTAGAGCAAATAAACACACCTAAACAAGAGATCCTGGATTCTGCTACATTTATCATTTTGTAGATGCACGAGTTAAAGAAGATAAAACACGTGAGTGCTCATTTACAGAAGTTACAAGCTTTGCATTTATGAAATGCAAAGGAGCTGTATTTTACCATAGAAAGCCAAGTGAAATAGAGTAAAACAGAAGTCGATCATATCCAAATAATTCAAATACAAACATATTTCATGAAGACTCTGATTCTAGACTGCTGCTCTCACTGTCTTCTACTCCCTTTTATTGGAACCTCTGAAACCATTTTGCCTGGGGCAGAAAGTAGATTTTAGTACAGTAGGAAAAATGCCAAACATCCATGGCAACTTAGAATTTTTCCACTTTCTTTACATGTTCAATTGAGACCTTCATAAAATTATAAATGAAAGGATACATTATGAGCACTTTCTTTGATGGGGAAAAATGAGGGTGGGGGGAGGTCTTGCCTGGAAGTAAAATTTTGGAGTCTATATCCTTCTTCTCTGCAGAACACTTGGGAGCTTTCTCTGCCAACAGCAGGACCCCCAGAAAAAAGCTTGCCTTTGCCTTCAGAATTCAAAAAAGTAGAACCAACAGTTGCTCCCCTGACTGTGGGTGAGACGTTGATCGCTAGGTGGGGACTGGAAAGTCCTGGGCTCCACTTTCTTGTCCCTCAAGGACTGAGGTCAGTGTGTCTTGGCGCCTTATATCCACTCTATCCACCTTCCCGCCTTCCCTCCCCCCGACCAGGGATTCACTCCTGTTTACATTGGGGAGACTGCAACTTCTGTTTCTTAACATTTAAAAGAAGTTTAAAAGCTTATAAAAAGGCTCTTAAGATTTCTTGGACACCAATCGCCTCTTACAGAACAATATTTTGATGAGTTAAGTGTAAATGAATCAGAAACGTACGTATTAAATTTCCCTTGACATGAACATCAGTTTAAAATATTAATGGAAAAAATGCCCGGGGCACAAAGTGCTGGGGGTTTTCTCAAACCCAAAATGCTTGAACGTGGAGTGGAAATCCATTCAGATCAACCGGGTTTGCTGATCCTCCCTCTCCACCTCCCCTAGGTCATAGTTACTGTGGAGGGAGTAATAGTTCTGGTTGTTGACCATCTGGCTGGGGAACAGATCACATTCCTGGTCATTATGCTTGCATCTCAGCAGAAGCCCAAGGCTGGGCTGAGGCTGTTGAGATGTCCAGCCGCTGTTCACTGAAGGCTGACCCTAAAAGCTGTCTTTTTTTCTTTTCCAACACCAAATGAACTAAATAAACAATCACAGAAGATCATAAATCACTGACAAAGATATTTAGATTTGGAACAGCCCTCAAAAACAGAATGTGCCACAATTTATCCCTCAAAGATTAACTCAGCCCTGGGTCCTGTAATTGTGGATCCCATGACTTCTGATGATAAATGACACAAAGGTCAAAACTTGAGAACCAGTAGAGTGTTTTTGTTTTGTTTTAAATATTGATTCTAGGTCCAAGAAAACACCCAGAGGAACAGAAGCAACGCAAAATCCTGAAATGAGACTTATCTCTAAAAATCATCACTATTGATTTTTTAGGTTAGATTTTCATCTCTGTTTTGTTTTGGGAATGGATGACCACACACACTAGGTGAGTGACAAAATAAGGAGATGGAACCGAGTGAAAGAGATTTCAAGCCTCTCCTCTTTGGTCACGTTAGCTAATCTGATCATTTGGGACATGTGTCACAGACACTACAGCTGTGAACAATTGCTAACTTCTTGGTGAAACACACCATGCGTTCAATGCTTTCAAAAGTACTAATGTGAGCATATCTACGTAATCTTCAACCCAAAGCTCATTCTAGTAACGCACGTGAAAGGGTTCTGTGAACTGTCATAAACTATCTCCACATAAGCTGTTTTTACTATCATTTTCGAACATCATATCCCTAACCCCCTTAAGGAGACCTTACAGTCCTCAGTGCTTTAGAAGATGCCCATAATCACCTCTATCCCAGGAGGGGTGAGACACAAGAGTTCCCTTCCAATGGGATATTTTCCCTTGCTCATTCTTTCTCAGGTACACATGCTCAAAGGTTTAGCAGGGTCTGGTGGTCAGGGAAGAGTACGTATTTACAGAAAGATACCTTTTAAAAACAGTGTTCAGCCTTCTTCTACTAGAGGCCATGTGCTGGATATATGTTTGTTGAATGGCTGAGTGAATGAATGAAAAAGCATAGCTCTTTTACAATAAATTTGCATAGATGAATGAAAAATTAAAAGTCTATCAGAGACAGGTATAGCACAAATTTCCCCCACCTCAAATATCCAACCCTTCACCTCCAACCCCTCCCACCACAGAAGATGATTAGGGTTTTCAAGGAAAAAAGAGAAGGTGTACAACCATGAAACACCCCAGAGAGAGCACACTGATTTCTTCTCTTTATATGGTTCATAATGTTTAACCTCTCTGTTAGCCACCAGTTCTTAAAAGCTCCTAAGCATTTTCACAGAAAATACAAGGAAGAGGAAAACCAGCAAGAGTAACAACGTCAATGGAGCTGGCAGACACAGAAAGACTATGGAAAGACACAGGAAAACTATGGAGGCTCTTCAACATCTGATAACAAGTCTCATTTCCTAATACCAGATCTGGCGACTGGAGAAAGTGTTATCAGCCAAAGCAGGGAATAGGATAGACATCAGAAATGCCCAATTCCAACCCATTTTCTGAGACTCCTTTCCTAGGCAAACCCCAAGGCTGTGCAGACATAAATAGAGAGTCCTACCATAAATGGATCTCTTTTTATCCCAGATAATCAAGGTCCAGTCATCTCCCCCAAGCTGGGCTTCTCTTGCTCTATCTGAAGATTCAGCATAAACACGTCTTCTAAGTTTTGCCTGGGTAGAGGAAGGAGGCAGTAAGCATGCAGCTACTGGGGCTAGCGGCTGTCCCTTGACCACGTGCAAAGATGGAGGTCCATAGTTTATCCCCAAAACGTTTCCATGCTTTCTCCTGGCATTTTCTCTCATGCTTTTACAAGCCTTGTTCAGGGAGTGCAAATTCATTTTAAAGGTAGTTTAGACCCGCCTCTCCCTTAGGGGAAATTTCAATGCAGAGGAAAAGCAAAAAGGAAAGTGGCACTTCAAAGCCTTAGAAGATAACCACGTGGAGAAGGCTGAGTCCTCCCCGGTACTCAGCCCTCCCCTGTACTCATTGCAGGCGATAGAGCCTGACTGTATTATTATTTGCATACTTGCTCAGAAGGGCCACAGAAGATCTAGAAACTCGGCTGGTGTTTGACTGACATCTTTTCGGACTTGGACCCCCCCCCCAGGGACCCCCCCCACCGTCCCCCCCTCCACCAGTCCAGGACCTGATGTAATATTGCCACAGCCTGGTTCCCGTTGCCTTTGATATGGAACCTGTGCCTACAGCCAGCTCTCAGGGCTAAAGGAAACAGCCAGCTCCCGAGGCATCTGCTTTGCCTCCTGCCCTCGCTGCTGTTAATCTGCAACACGCCGCGGCCTCCCGGTCGCTGCCGTTCAGAGTCGGATGTCAGGGGTCGACCGGCAGGGGTCCTTTCTTCTTTCTGTTTGATACATCCTTCCTTCCGCCGCTCCTCGCAATCAACCGCTAGGCTAGGCCGAGGAGGGGAGCAGGCAGGAGGGAGAGCGGCAGACTTCCGGAAACCTTTCCTCCCTTCCCTGCACAGGTTGCCCCATAATGACCCTGGAGACTCCCGCCTGCCCCCAGTGAAGGAATTGGTTACTCGCCCAGCGCCCTCCCGGGCATCGCCCCCTTCCTCACTTCCTCCTCTTCCTGCCCCCAGCCTCTACCCCTCCAGCCTCCTGTGGCTTCACAGCCAAGTGCCCCATCTCAGGAAGAAGGAGTTCGTGATGGCGAGCCTTCAGACTTCCCACTGCAACCCCCGCCTCCCCAAAGGCACAAAGGCAAGCCGTGGCTTCCCTGGTATCACCTGTCAATCTAGGAGCACGAGGGAGCTATCAAAGACGGCATGGAGCATGTGCTCCTTTCTCTTAGTAAAGAATACTATTCAGACGTGCTAGAGGGAAAATACTTTTTAATTATTTATATTTTAAAACGGGGTTAGAATTATTTTGAATGTACAGTGTGTGTTTTCCTGGAGTCCAATTGTAACATGAACCCCAAACCTACCAGTTGTGTTTTTATACATCAGGAAGGGGACCCCACCCACTCACCCATCCACCCATCTTTCGACTCACCCACCTATTCTTGCTTATAACTACACAGTGGTTTATTTTGCCAGCACTAAACTATGCAGACAGAAAGCAAAGGCTGATTATTCTCAATTCTCCATCGACACATATACGCCATGGCTGGGTGACACCTCAGGCAAATGCACTGATGCGCAGAAGTTTGGCTGCATGTTTTCATTTTTGATTCTTTTACTGGGAGAATCTTTATAGCTGGGAGGCAGGTGCACATCCATGGCAGTCAGGGGTAAGATATTAGAGTACTTACAGTGCTTATAATTTTCATAGGATCAGCCTCCTCATTGCCAATTTCACTCTGTTTCAGGGTCACAGATCATACCTCTAATCCTGGCCAGTTGTCTCACCAATGTGTGTCACGAGGGGCGTGGGGCAAGAAGGTATAGATGACCCAGCATAACTGTTGCGTCTATTGCAGAGAAATTCAAAGGGCACGTCCTACAAAAAGCAGAACACTATTAGAGGCAGGCATAATTGCAGGCATTAAATTAGCATGGGTCTCTCAGCCGGGGGCTAATCTAAGCCAGACCTCACGTCATGGCAGGCCATGAGTACACTGCAATTACAATTCACAAGAAAAGGGAAAAATCACCCTCGATTCTCAAATGTTTCTTTTTAACACGGCAGATGCTTAGCAATTATATCAGAGGCTGAGGCATCTGGAGTAAGCAAGAAAACTGATTTGGGTTAACAGTCTTAGAAAGGCTAAAGGATTTTTAGTGTATCTACAGGACTGAGCCCTGTGGGTACTCCCCTTTCTCTCCCTGACATCAGCCACATCCACCCCACCTCTGCCATTACAGGTTGGTGCTACCCAAGGTCTCCATGCATGCACTGTCCCCCTGCATCTCACACTTCATCCGGACCCTCCTGCTGACCTGGCCCTACCTGGCTGACCTACTGCCTCAATTCTCTAAAACAGTACTTGAACCCTACCGGTTCCATCTCTTCTCTTTGTAGGTCCTCCTGATACCCATGGGGCCCCATGTTTTTAGACTATGCCCTAACACAGGGCTTTTAAAGCTTACTTCCACATGAAGGCAGAAATCAATCTTGGGTGGTCAAAACAAATATGCTTTCTCAGTGGTAGGCTTAGGAGTGATTTTTTTCCTCTATAATCAACACCTATTCATTTTACATTCAAAAATTGTGTGTGTGTGTGTGTGTGTGTGTGTGTGTGTGTCTGTCTGTGTTTAATTCAGTTTAAAAATCCAGTATACAAACACACCAAACTTTGCTTCTTCTGGCTTTTTAAACTCTTTTCACATGCCACAGTCCTGGATTCACCAGCGCAGCTAATCTGCCTTTGAATTTGCCAATTGGGATTCTTTTTGGTGGGGAAGCAGGGAGGCTGGAGTGCAGTGGCATGATCATAACTTACTGTGGCCTCAAACTCCCAGGCTCGACCAATCCTCCCTCCTCAGCCTTCTGAGTAGGTGAAATTACAGGCATAAGCAACCACGTCTAGCTAAGTTTTTAATTTTTTTTGTATTGACAGTGTCTTGCTATGTTGCCCAGGCTGGTCTCAAACTTGTGGCCTCAAGTGATCCTCCTGCCTCAGCCTACCAAAGCACTGACATTACCCTGTTTTTTTTTTTTTTAATTAATTAAAGTAGAAATCACAGACCCATTGTATTTCTACAGGTGAAAACCTTACAATGTTGCCAGGGATTAATTTCTATGAGTGGATGAGAGGTCTCTTTTTCACAGTTTTCTTTTTGTCTGGGGACTGCTGCCCTGATACAACTTAGGCCTTTCCTTGTTAGGACTAGTAACCCTTCCAGCCATATTCTAATGCATTTTGTAAAACCTGGCCAAAAATTGGGCTGTACTGGAATGTTACCTTTTTAAATTTCAGAATAAATAGGCTATCAGCAGGATCATGGACAAGTTTTGATCATACAGAGACAGCCATTGTAATAGGACTTTTTCTGTGTTAATATAATGTTTTAATAAAGCCATTTGGCACATGAATAAGACTCTCTTAGACCAAGCATTCTTAACAATGAGAGAATTGAGATCAGCCTATAGGGTGTATTAGTAAAAGTGTCTTTTCTAGCTTTACTAAAACTCTTCCATCTGTTTAGCAATAAATTTATTATTATTAAAACCCTTCTGAAATAGATGTGGTAAAAAAAAGTTCTGCCCCTGTTATAATGCTTTCCAAACAAGCTTAAAATTGCCCAGAAACAAAAGGCAGGAGAGAAAAGAAAGGGCAGTGTCTCCAGATAATGAAGTTCTGCCTTTGTGTTTTATCTGTGAAACAGCACGGTTGGAAAAGTCTGGATCCCATTTCATCTGAACTCAACATAAATGTAGTGCCTGGAATCCTCCCAAATGAATAAATTCTTTTCCAATAATTTTTAAGTGAGGAAAGATCAACAGGATAGGGGCATGGGGTGGCAGTGGGGGGGATTATAGGCTGCAGAGTGTGTGTGTGTGTGTGTGTGTGTGTGTGTGTGTGTGTGTGTGTGTGTGTGTAGGGTAGAGGGCAATAAAATACAAATTAAGGAACACAAACCTGGTCATTCTTTTTGGTGAGCCATGCTGAATTTTGTCTCTCTTTCTTGAAAAACCTTAATAGATTTATGTATTTGTTGACTAAGTGCTCATGTTCATTCCTACCCTGCTTCCCTGTCCCATCCCAAGTATATATTCCTCAGATGGCAACATGTCAAAGCTCCTTTCCTTCTCTCAGATGGTATGCAAGCTTCTGATCTGCTTTTTCTTCTCCCTGGATTGCGCATAAAATGATGTCAATTTATGGTGAGGTAAAGGGATACACCATGGACCATTTATCAATTTAATTTTCCTCCATGTTGTGAGGTCTTGCTGAGCGCAGTCTGCAACTTCTGGAGTAATGAAGAGAACAAAAAGCTGTACGCCTGTCACACTCACTCTCAGGATCAAGGTTACCAAAGAAGAACTGTGTAATTTCTTTATTTAAATGGCTTAAGCAGACCTCAGAAAGTTCTGCCACGAACACAGTTCTCTTTCGGGCTTAATGTTCTTACTTTGCTTCTTTGTGTTTTTTAAGAAAAAAAAAAGGCGGGGGAGGAAAAGAGGCCATTGATCCTCCTCCTTCTTTGACCACTGGAAGAGAGGTAGAGAAAAAGAAAAAGAAAATTCACAAAGAAAGGACCCATGTCCCTCCTGCTTCCTCCTCCTCTCCCCATCCACAGGCAAAATCTAATAAAGATGATTAAATTACATGTCTTTTCCTCCCATTGAAATCTACTGCATACTATTCAAATATTAGAACTCAGGAAATAAGGCAGGACAAGGTCCCTCATGAAACCTTAGAAGGCAGCACAGGGGTCTGAGCTGGAGGTCTGCTTGGCTGGGCAGCTCTAATTAAGGAATCACCCTGCTGAGCAGAACTTAATCTAAATAAAATGTAAAAAGGAATCCAGTGAAAACCATTACCTCCACACCCCACATCCTCACACACCTCACATCCATAGCCTCCCTCTCCCTAGTCCTAGGAACTCTACCTCCCATCACCTGGGAGTTCGATGTTGTTCTATGAGCCCCACAGTACAATCAAGTATGAAGTCTCAGCTCTAGAAGAGGAAGCTATGTCTTGTGCTGGCCTCTTGCTGTTTGGCTGACCTTTCACAGGGCCAGAGGCAGATTCAGTCAATGTTGTTTTGGTTTGCAGCGGGATATGAGATGGAGATTTGATCAAGGATTGATTAAAAGAGTTGGTTATCTGCTGTAGTTAACAACAAGGTATTGTGTATCTCAAAATACCTAGAAGAGAGGACTTGAGACGTTCCCAACACATAGAAATGATACATACTAACGGTTATGGATATTTCAGATACTCTGATGTGACCATTACGGAGTCTATGCATGTAACAAAAGATCGTATGTACCCCGTAAGTAGGTACAAATATTTGGATCAATTTATAAAAAGCAAACAGAAAAAAGGAGTTGACTGTCTGGTCAGCCTTTCTCTTCTTAACACAATGAACTGCCAACCCTCAGCCTCTCTGCAGGCTAGCTGGGTTCTTCTTGCCTGTCCATCAGCTGCTTTGGAGTAGCCACCTGAGAGCAAAGTCCACATCTGCTTAACTTGATATTGCTCAATATCCTTGTACTAGTTAGTCCTTTATACTGTATTGAATCAGCCTCAGACCTCTGCCCCACCCACGTCCTGGGTTCTCCCTCTGATGTTGGGTAACATTTGTTTAGACTCATTTCCCATTCTCCTCCATAGAGATCTGTTCTGCATTCTCACTGATCTCAGTGTTGACCCCATGAGTGAGCTGTTCTCTATACTACACTTTTGTGACTTTGCATGGACTGCTATGTCCACCCACGGTAGTGGTTCTTAAACTGTTGAAAACCTGTTGAAAGAAAAAAACTCTATCCCCAAGGTGGGAAAAGCACACATATGTACATAAACACAGGGTTTGCCAGCGATTTCAGGGAGTACCTCACTCTCTAAGGAGTGTGTGATTGCCAACTTGACCCATTTATGCCTGAGATTACAATTTTTGCAATCAGATCTTGGCAATGATCTTGAGCAGCAGAAGATAAATAACTCCCACATGCTTAGCATTCCAATAATGGAACACTAGACATAAATGGTTAGAACCCTTGCGATCAATTATCCCTTTCTCTCTTTTCTCCCATTTTTGGAAAACTCCTACTTATCCTCAAGGAGACCTCCACAAAGTTTGCAGACTCCTGCCCTGTGCTCCTTGATGTCTTTTGTCTGTAAGGCCAGTATACCACTTACCACAGGACAATAATTTGTTTGCATGTCCATCTTCCTCTAGACCAAAGCGGGGCAAATGTTCTCTGAAAAGTACCAGATAGTAAATATTTTAGGCTTTGTAGGTCTGATGGTGCCTGTGGCAACTACTCAACTCTGCTGTTTTTGCAAAAGCAACCACAGAGAATGTCTTAGTCTGTTTGGGCTGCTATTAAAGAATATCATGGACTGAGCAGCTTACACACAACAGACATTTATTTCTCACAGTTCTGGAAACTGAGAAGTCTAAGGGCTCCACCCTCATGACCTAATGTATTAGTCCATTTTCACACTGCTGATAAAGACATACCCAAGACTGGGAAATTTCCAAAATAAAGAGGTTTAACGGACTTACAGTTTCATGTGGCTAGGGAGACCTCACAATCACGGCAGAAAACAAGGAGAAGCAAGTCACATGTTACATGGACAGCAGCAGGCAAAGAGGGAGAGATTGTGCAGGGAAACTCACATTTTTAAAACCATTATATCTCATGAGACTTATTCACTATCAGCATGGGGAAGACCTGCCCCCAAGATTCAATTACCTCCCACCAGGTCCCTCCTATAACACATGGGAATTCAGGATGAGATCTGGGTGGGGACACAGCAAAACGATATCACCTAATCACCTCCCAAAGTCCCTACCTCCAAATACCATCACACAGGGGATTAGATTTGAACACAGGAATTCTGGGAGGACACAGAAATTCAGCCTTTAGGGGACAATATGGAAACAGATGGACGGCTCCATTCCATTAACACTTTATATGCACTGCAATTTGAATTTCATATTCTTTTCATGTCATAAAATACTTTTTCAAATGTTAAAAAATGTAAAAACTATCTATTCTTATCTCTTGAGCTATTCAAAAACAGATGGGTAAGGGCAGATTTAACCCACAGGACATAATTGCAACTCCTGGTCTTGATAGAGGAGAAGCCCTCAAAGGTAAATCTTACTCCTTTTTGAACTTCATTATCTAATCCCTTAAAGGTAATTCATCTTTGAGTTTCATTATCTAGCATTAACTGATACAAAACATGCATATAAATATAGAATTGACCCTTGAACAACATAGGTTTGAACTGTGCAGGTCCTCTTCTTGGATTTTCTTCTGCCTCTGTCACCCCTAAGACAGCAAGAACAAGACCAACCCCTCCTCTTCCTCCTCCTCCTCAGCCTAGTCAATGTGAAGATGGTAAAGATGAAGCCCGTTATGATGATCTGCTTCCACCTAAAGAATAATAAATGTATTTTCTTTTCTTTATGGTTTTCTTAACCTTTCTCAAGTCTATTGTAAGAATACAGCATATAATACATATGATGTACAAAACTTGTATAATCAACTGTTTCTGTTATCGATAAAACTTCCAGTCAACAGTAACCTATTAGTAGTTAAGTTTTCGGGGAGTCAAAAGTTATATGCCAACATTTGACTGCATGGGGTGTTGGGGTCCCTAATCCCTGCATTGTTCAAGCTTCACCTGTAATAACAACTATAAACAACAATGACATTTTGATGACAAAAAGTTCCTTGAGACAGAGCCTGAATAGAACAACCATAAATGTGGCTTTAGGGACACTGTGCGGCTTCACGTGTCATCATGATTAGAGACATAATACCTTAAAATAGCCACCAACACTCCAATCACAAATTCTGGAGGTCTGGGATCATTCCATAAATCACTGGGTAGATGCAAAACTTTCTAGAGCAGTCTAATATCAGTAAAGTAAAAAATATCTCCTGTTAAGAGAAGATTTCTTTACCACTCCCCGCTTTCATGTAATCACAGCTTCTTTGAGCCTCTCTTTAACAATCTCTTAAACTTTCTGAGCAGGCAGTTCTGATACAGCTCCCAATGATCTCCCTTCCTGGTATTCAAGCCCTGGTGCAATCCCCTCTTCTTGAATGTGGGCTGGACTTCGTGATTTGCTTCTCATCAATTGAATACACACAAGTGATGAGCTGTCACTTCCAAAATTAGTTTAGACAAAGCTGTAAGTTTTGTTTTGTAAGCAGCCTCTCTCAATCTCCTTCTCAGCTTGTATGCTTTGAAGAAGCAAGCTGCAGTACTGGGGAAGCCCCTGTGGCAAGAAAATGAGGGTGGCCTCCATCCAACGGCTGGTGAGAAACTGAGACCTTCCTTCCTTCCAACAATCGTCAAGTAACTGAATCCTCCCAACACCATGTGGGTTAGCTTACAAGTGAACCTTTCTCTAGTTGAGGTTTCAGACAAGGCCACAGATATTATACTAACACCTTGATTGCAGGCTTATGAGAAACATTGAAACAAGAAGACTAAGTAAAACCATGTCTGGATTCCTGACTTACAGAAACTGTGAGATGACAAATGTGTGTTATCTTAAGCCACAAACTTTTGGGGGTGATTTGTTACACAGCAGTTGATAATGAATACCTCAACCTATAGTGATACAGCTAGCGCCCGACTTATGACCACGGTTGGGACCGCGGACCGGTCGTAACACGATTTGGTCGTAAGTTGAGTAGGCTATATGTACAGTTGAAATGGTGCACACGGAGATGGTAGTGCTGCCGGAAGCTGGTCCGCACTGTCGTACACCCAGCTGGGCAACGTTTGCGCTGCCAGACGCGGAGCAGTCGTGGCTAGCGATTGCAGTCGTAAAGTCGAATGGTCGTAAGTTGCATAGGTGATAAGTCGATCAATACCTGTAAATGGATGTCTATTTACTCATTCTCCCCACCAAAATGTGACGTTCCTGTAGGGCAGAGGTTAAAACATATTCATCCTGACACCTCTTCTCACAGCTCATAACATACAACCAGACCTACAATATATGATTAATCAATGTTTGTTAAATTAACTTGTATTTTGAGTTTCATTGAAATCAGTTAGTTGAAGTGATAATTATAACATTTAAATGTGCATCAGCAGTAGTACAAAGCAGGTAACTGGTTAGGATACAAAGTTTTTGAAAATTGTGAGGGTGAAAAAATTATTTATATTTGTACCCTGTTGTACCCAGCTTAGGTTTCAAAAACTTTCAGGGGGTTTTTATTCATTTACAAAAGACTTCAAAGTCGGTGCCTCCCCACCACACCACAGAGGTCTTTGCCCTTATCGATCCAACAATACTGACTTGCCCGGTGCATAGTGGGAGCTATTATAAGGAGAGAGGAGAAGAAAGAAATAGAAACAACTGTGAAAAACGTTGAAGAAAAAAGAAAAGGTTAGAAAAAGAGCGGAGGAAAAAGAAGATGTAGTTAACATCCAAGCCAGATGCAGAGAAATGATTCAAAAGAAAAAGTCTGATTTTCCTGTCTGTAGTCATAAATATTTTGACAAGGAGCTGGGCATTTATCAAAAAGGAGGAAAAAAAAAAGAATAACAGAGGTTGTCTTCCAAAGGACCCAACACTCTTGGAATTCAATGACCTAATTCTGTATATGGTTGCAGTGTAGAGATTGCCTCTCTTGTCTGATTCTCATGGCACTGAGACCTCTGATTTCTCAACAGCACATGGCACAGCACTATCAGAGGTCAGGAATAAAGAACAGAGGATGTGGGGGACAGTCTAGATATTATCCTCGGCAAACATATTTTTAAGTCAGTGTAGATTCTCACTCTCTATCTTGCTGGTTGCTTATCTTAGCAGTTAAATCAACTTTTCATTACTTTTGTAGACATTATATAATATTTTCTCCCCACAGCTCCAGCCACCAGCTGTTAGTCAGCAGAACGGGAGAGGGATTGGGTCAGCTTGAGCAGAATAACTTCCATGCAGACTTACAAGGGAACCAATTCCCAGCCACTGAACAAACCTAAATGTACTGCAATGACCATAGAACCAAAGAGATCTTAAGAGAGAAATCTGAGAGCATGCAAAGGTCAAAACAATTGGAGCTAGTTCCTTCAAGCTTAAATATTCTCATCTGTAAAGTGGGGACAATAACAGTGTGTGTCTTATAGGGTTATTTTGAAAGCTAAATATGCGTAAAAGCCTCAGTCTACTGAAAGGTTACTTGACCGTAATACTCTTTCCATTTCGTGTGGGATAATCCTTTGTTGGGGGTTAGGGATACTGACTTGTACATTACAGGATATTTAAAATGTCCTTAGCTTCTATCGACCAGATGCTAACACCCCACCCACAGACCACCATCCTCTCCATCATCACCATCAAAAACATCTCCAGACATTTCCAAGTGTCCCCTGGGAGGGTAAAATCACCCCTGGTTGAGAACCAGTGTTCTAGTGCTTGGCATTGTTCCATAAATATCGAATGATATTTTTATCATTATAATTATTACTAAAGGCAACACCATCCTGCTATGGTGACAGCTCCTCAGTCTCACTGAATCCCCAAAATAGTTGCTGCATTTCTGCATCTTTTCAAGAGTAAGGGTTGAAAAGAGACATGGCAATTCATCTGACAGCAATCCAATAGGAAACCTGCTGTCTCCATAGAAACTCTTTTCATGGAAAGAAAGGGGGCTACCATTTTGTTCTGCTGCAGGAACTAGCTCTATTCCTCAGCCTCACGGTTTGCGAAACGCTACAGACTTTTCCATGGGCATAAATTCTCCAACTTTAGGGATTGCCGGTATAGTTGACTCTTGAAGCTGCTGTTGGATTTCCAAAGGTATCACCATTTTTACCTGAGAAAGGAAGGAAAAAGATATTCAAGAGGGAGAATTTTTCAACAGAAGTTACTCCATTTGCTGTTTTTGTGGTTTTGTGCTTGTTTGGGTTTGCAAGTATGTTTTCTGCCCAAATTGTTCTTGCATATTCTAACAGTGTTTGCTTTACGTGTTTTGATACCACGCTGTTTTGAAGGTACAAATGTTTTTCATGGCATGTCTTGTGTTAAGTGTACAAACTGAGAGGTGAATATCAGGACTGAATAGAGTACAGTATTCCTCAAAGTTTTTAACCAAATAAACGCTAAGAGGAAAGTGAAGCAAGATTTCTAGAGGTCTGGAAGTGGCCAGGTGACAATATGACATCTCTATACCTCCTATTTTTATCTTTAGACTAAATGCAAATTTTTCTTTTTGTGCTAAAAGAATGTTTCATTCATTTCAAGGTAAAAATGTGCAAATAGGCTCTCCATATTGGCTTGTTTATTCTGTGGTCTCTCCTACTCCCCTTTTTAAAGTGTGTGCAGTGAATTTCCAAAGATCATAATCTTAGAATCTAACAGACCCGAATTCCAGTCCTTGGCTATACTGCTGATAGAACGGGTTAACTTGGGCATATCACTTAATGCTGGTGACCCTCAGTTTCCGTATCTGAAATGAGGAAATAAAAATTGACCTACCATGTCGCACCATCATAAGCAGTAAAGATAATATACATAAACAATAGAGCAGAAGGCCAGGCACAGAAAATTCTCGACAGTCAGTAGCTGGCATAATTATTATAAAGAAGAGCACTTCTGATGTAAGACATAGGCAGAGGGTCGTAAGTGTGTTAATCTGCCCCCACCTCCCAACCCTCTACCTACCCTCCACACCTGGCCACCTGCCTCTGTGCAGGTCTTGCCTAACCTTTCCCAATAGGAAGAAGCTGGGCTCTTGTGAAATAGTTCCAAGGATGAAACTAACACAGCTCATTAACCCTCCCAAATATCTGTGCTATAAGGATTTCCTGTCACTTTCCCATGACTCTGAATTACATCTACCCTGAGCCCCACAACAAAATCTGGGACATTGCTCTGTCATGCTGACAGTTTCCCAAATTTGCCTGGCTTTGTTGACATTGCTTCCCAGGCCCCTCTTCTGAAGATTCTGATTTGCTTGGCAGAGAATTTATACTTTTAGCAAGCCCCCTAAGATTTTCCTAAGATTGTGCAAGTTGAGGAAGCACTGCATTGTGCAATCTGCTTCTGTTGCCCACAGTACCAGAACGCATCTCCATACATCTAGAACAAAGAACAGCAAGTTTAATATCTTTATGAAAAAAAAAAAAACTGATCACGGAAAATTTAATATTAGTCTAAGTATCTGTCAGAATTCAAACATACACACTCCTTGACCCAGCAATTCTACTTCAAGAAATTAGTCTTAACAAATATACTTCCAGATCTATAGAAAGGTGAATGTAAAAGCATTGTCTCTAATGCTGTGCAGAAGCTTTGCAGTCTCTAATTTAATCAAGAAGACTGTGAGCAAAAAAACCTAATATCCAACAATGGGGGAAGAAATTTATGGCATAGCCATACAATAGAATATTACGGAGATTTACAAAGACAGCTTTCTGTGTTTTGGTATTTTATATCAACACAAGCGATTCTGTACATGTCAAACTAAACAAAAAGGTCTTCAAGTTATATTTTAAATTAAAAATGGCAAAGTGCCTAACAGTATGGGCAGGAGTCGATCTGTCTCCTTCCTCTCTGTACACCTTTCTATCTTGATTGTATGTGTCTTGTGCATTATAGGATAGTCAGCAACATCCTTTGCCTCTATCCAGCAGATGCTAACACCCCACCCGCAGACCACCATCCTCTCCATCATCAGCATCAAAAATGTCTCCAGACATTTCCAAGTGTCCCTTGGTTGGGGGCTGTCCCTTGGACATCACCCCTGGTTGGGAACCACCATTCTAGTGCTTGAATACATGCACTTACCATCCCTAGAAGGATATCCAGAAGCACCACCTGTAGGGTAAAGGACTGATGCCTAGGTGCCAAGTCCAGGAGGGGACTGAATTTGCACAATATATTTTTTGGACCTTTTGATTTTTGTATCATGCACGGATTTGACCTATACAAGAGTTCATTTTGATTTAAAGCCAAAGCCCTCAGTCTAGCTAGCACTTATGCCCTACATTCATTCCTTCCCCTTACGGTTCTCTTTCCTTCTCCCACAGCTTTGCTCCTCCTTTCACATTAGTCGAATCTTTTCCTGTCCTCCATTCCCACCATGGTGTGGACCTTCTCTCTCCCTAGTTCCACTCTGCTTAAGCCCCACTCTTTCCTGGAGGTATGTCTGTCACCTTCAAAGTTCTACTAAAGCTGCCTTGAATCTAAGCCACCCAGGAGGGTTTGCTGTCCTGATGAAATACACTCCATGACCGTACTCTTCCTGTGTATCCACACATTCCTTATCAACTGGAGAGCTTATCACATAGAAATGCTTTAAAAATAATTCACTTTAGTGTCAAACTTTTTTCTCTTTTAAATTTTCATACATTTTTAATATAAGGATGCCTAGAAAAGAATGATGTCTGTTTGAATTTGACAAGTGTGTTTGCATTTCAAACATAAATTTCTCAGTAAAGAACAGACTCCCTATTTATCCTATACAATATCAATATGAAAAAGACCTACTTTTAATATCTCCGAATGGCCTAATTATGAGCTCTTGGAAGGGGGGAAACTTATCTTTAAGCATTCTACTTTCTTCTTAGGGCTTAATGCAGAAGTTTGACATTAAAGACCCTTAAGAAGTACTAGTTGAGTGAATATCAGAATGAAGTAGTAAATGTACTTTTTTTTTAAGTTCTGGGGTACATGTGCAGAATGTGCAGGTCTGTTACATAGATAAATGTGCAATGGTGGTTTGCTGCACCTATCAACCCATCACCTTGGTATTCAGCCCCGTATGGATCAGTAATTTTTCCTAATGCTCTCCCTCCCCATTTGACCCAGCAATCTCATTACTGAGTATATACCCAAAAGAACAGAAATCATTCTATTACAAAGATACATGCATGCATATGTTCATTGCAGCACTGTCCACAATAGCAAAGACATGGAATCAACCCAAAAGTCCATCAATGATAGACTTGATACAGAAAATGTGATACACACACACCATTGAATACTATGCAGCCATAAAAAGGAATGAGATCATGTCATTTGCAGGAACATGGATGGAGCTGGAAGCCATTATCCTCAGCAAACTAGGATATCTGCAGGAACAGAGTATACTATTCTAATTTATTTCTAGGGGTGTTAATTGATTGTATTTTGGCAGAAGCACATGTGGTTTGTGACATAGTGTCAGTACCATGATTGCACAGTCTGTTTGTCGCCTTGCAGTTGTTGGCTTGTTCTTAGCATAGTCACAGAGTATCCCTTGTTGACCCTTGACCCCATCTATGTCCTTCAGGGCACCAAGCATAGGGATTTGCCCACAGCAGGTATTTGAGAAACGGTATGGAATGAATGTCCTTTGATGAGCAATACAAAGAACATGTAGAAAGCTTGGGAAAAAAGTAAGCAGTAAAAGTAAACAACAACCAACTTGCCCCGAAATCTGCATACAGTTAGATTAAATGTTCATCATGGGAGGAAGATCGAAGGCATGTTTGGAGGGTTGGCATCTCTCCATACTTTCCAGGAAGCTGGGTTTATGTCTTCTGAGGTAAAAACTGGAGTAGAATATGGTTTTTCTAGATATTTGTGCTTTGCTAACTCCTGTCTTCCAGGGAGGGGGATGGTCTGCCTATTTCAAGAAGGATGTCATCCTTTAGGCTGTCGAGAACTTAATTAAAAATCATAACTGGGGCCAGGCATGGTGGCTCAAGCCTGTAATCACAGCACCCTGCAAGGCCGAGGTGGGTGGATCACCTGAGATCAGGAGTTCGAGACCAGCCTGTCCAACATGGTGAAACCCCGTCCCTACCAATGACACAAAAATTAGCTGGGTGTGGTGGTGTGTGCCTGTAATCTCAGCTACTCAGGAGGCTGAGGCAGGAGAGTTGCTTGAACCCAGGAGGCAGAGGTTGCAGTGAGCCGAGATCGTGCCATTGCACTCCAGCCTGGGTGACAAGAGCAAAACTGTCTCAAAAAAGAATCATAACTGATATTAACAGACATGGTCACAGGCCAATTCCTTTGTGTTTTTCCACTGATACGTGCTCTCAGGACTCTCCAAATGCAGGCTGGCCCACAGTCACCACAGTTAGGGAGGGTAACATTCATGGAGGGAAAGGGACTGCGATCACCCTAGAGACCAAGCAATCAACAAAACTGTGATTATGATTTTACCCAGATTGAGTCAAACATCAGGGATTCTAAGCACTTTCCCAACACTTACTTTCCACCGCTAAGTTGGCAACGCTTAACGTGCGCATACTGAGCATTACCTCTACTGGAACGAAAGCTTAAATGGAGCATTTCACACTCTTAACAGAAGAGTTTGCCTTTGACATCTCAGTGATCAGTGTGAGTCAACCTGGAGACCACGCTGAACTATCTCTTCTGATCAGATGAGGATGTAAGTGGTCCTCCCGTCCACAGAACCCATCCAGGTATGACAGAAGGACAACAGTTTTGGGGTGAGGCATTTTGCACTTGATGTAACTGTCTTAGTTTGTTCTCACACTGCTATGAAGAACTACCTGAAAATGGGTAATTTATAAAGAACAGAGGTTTAACTGGTTCATGGTTCCACAAGCTATAAAGGAAGCCTGGCAGGGGAGACCTCAGGAAACTTACAATCATGGTGGAAGGTGAAAGGGAAGCAGGCACAATCTTCACGTGGCAGAGCAGGAGAGAGGAAGGGCCAGATCTTATAAGAACTCACACCCCTATTATGAGAACAGCAAGGGAAAAATCTGCCCCCATAATCCAATCACCTCCCACTGGGTCCCTCTCCCAATGGTGGGAGTTACAATTCAACATGACATTTGGGAGGGGACCCAGAGC